TGTCTAAATTTCTCCAAACCGCTCTAATCCATCAAAAATATTATATTTTGCCAATTGACCAACATAAATGTTTTAAAGTTAATTTTCCTTTATTGTATAGATGCGTATAGTCTTGATTATATACCTCACTTAAGAACTCCAGCCATCTGATTGGTCGAAATTGCATTCATAAACTTTAACTATTCCGGGAAGGTTACAATTGGGCTATTGCCCTCGGCACGCCTCGGGCAACAGCACAATTGTAACCTTCCCTTGAGCGTATAAAAACAACTATTTCTCTCAAAGCAGTCATTAATGCCAGTGGCGGATCCAGGGGGGGGGGTTGGGGGGGTTGCAACCCCCCCCTTGGGCGGCCCAAAAAAAAAAAAAAAAAAAAAAAAAAAAGGAAAAAAAAAAGAAAAAAAGAAAGAAAAAAAGAAAGAAAAAAGAACGCACGTTGGAGAGAAACCCTTTCAAGTGCAAATATTGTGAGAAGATATTCAACTCATCAGGTAACTTAACCAAACACATGATAACTCTGGATATAACTGTGTATTTAACTGTTACTTGATTTAAAAAGACGTTATCATGCACTGCTTTTTATGGTCTCCATTGTGTTAATAGATGCCAGGAAAACATCACTTACGGGGTTCAAATAAACACCCCAAAAAAAATCGGCTCGCCGCTTCGCGGCTCGTGGACGATGCTCCGCATCGTCATTATTTTGGTCAACCCCCCCCTTAGCAAAAAGCTAGATCCGCCCCTGAATGCTATACTATAATCCGGGCAGGTAAAGTGATCGTTGTAATCAAATATGAAGGAAAGAAAGAAAGAATGATACACAACACTGAAGATCCTTATCTTGGTAGTCAAAATGTTCTCACAGACTGGACCACTAACCTAAAAACGGATATTTTGCATGAACTTTTCTTTCCCGTTGCCTTGCGAATTATCCCACTCTTTCCAATAATCAACATGATACGCCCGTCAAAAAGCATTTTGTAAAAGACGTAACATGGAGTATATTGCACTGATGAAATTACATTAACATGACAATTGATTATTTTTGCCACCCTTTTCAAGAGCAAATTGATGTTGGGTCTCTGCATGGCAGAAATAATATCACGTGGCAATTTGGCATTGATATTGCCTGATGAGATGGAGCTTCAATAGGTGTTCTGAACAACTAAAAGAAGCGAACCATGAAGGACAGTAAGCAAATTATGAGAGTTATTTGCATCGTGGTGTAAATATATGTAATCTATCCGATCACTTTCCATCAGTGTATATTGCAGTAGTGAAGAATTGGTAGAATTCAAAATTTGAGGCTTGTTTGTATTTGGGCATGCAAAAGATGATCGGGAGAAAAACTTCTACAAATGGAAATGTCACTCATCGAATAATTTTGTGCTCATAATGTAATCGCTACATAAACGATTTATTGCAGTATAATAATAATTTTAAATTGTATACATTTGACATATTACCTTTTATAGAAGGAATGTTCGGTTACGTTATACGTATTTTTAATGTTCGCACATGATAGTATAGATATAAACAAGGCTATTGAATAGCCTTAATATTAGTTTTTTTTCTCCTTTCTACAGTCTTTGCAATTGGACATGATAAACAAACAGAAATGTACTTGGCATTAGATGAATAAATATTGAATTACCCACCCGTCTAGGAGTAGTGGTTCTGGGGGGGGGGGGGTGCTTACGAAAAAAAAATATATAAGCAGCCCACAATTTATTCAAGCCCCCGTCAAATGTGTTACCTACAAAATGTATGCAACCCTCTCCCTAAAAAAAGGCCCTTCAACGCCCCCATTAATCCTCTAGAACCGTTTCTGCATCCTCATATTATGAAAGCACGAGTATTAGACTCTCATAGTGAACCACAGAAAGGTACGAGTTTTGTTATACAATTACAAGGAGGATGATCTCATTTTCTGCAATAGAGTAATTGTTCCGACTTCATTAAATAAGGGGCATTGTATCCTCAGTTGGAGGGGTTGCATACACTGCACAATTATGAAATCCCTGATCCGAGGTATGGGGAGCAACACACCTCAGGATAGACGACCTTGAGACAGAGCTGCACTGTCATTTTACACAGGTAACATGTATGTTGGATGTGACAAGCTTCAGACGACAGCATACCACTGGAGGCTTTAAAAGCTTAACGTGGATGTTCAATTTCAATCAGGTAAATTGCTTGTAACCATGGTGTCATTAATTAGAATATGCTACATTGGAGTGACAGGTTTTAAGGTGAGCGAATGTATCTAACAATGCCCTTTCTTGTAGACGAAATTAAATATGCTCCTTGATTTTATCACCTAATTCAAGGTGGGCGCTTGTCACACATTTTTCACAAAATCAATTATTTCCTTGACGATTGGTCGATTAATGTGCTTCAGGAGTATGATTATAATGAAGTAACAACTGAAGGTGACATCGTGTTCCTATGACATTTTCATTCAGGTGTGATAAATGTACTTGGGAAATTTAAATTTTACTTTGAGAAACCATGGCAATATTTTAGTTTCTCTTTCTCTTCTCTGCCTCTCTCTCTCGTTTTCTCATCATCATCATCCTTCGGAATTCTTCTTGTCTAACCCTTCTTTAAATAAACTCACACGATCGACTACTTCACTATCGTGACTTGCGTCTCGTTACCTAGGTAACATGGTCACTTTAAATACACTAACAGGTTTCAAGACTTGTTCACAACCATCTTAACAGATACCGTGGATTTAACATCAGCATTTTCTCTCAATTTGGCCAAATACAAGATAATGTACGGGAGCTTATCGACAGGATTCAGTATATATTTGAGACCAACAATAAAGATTTTAAGGTAAAAAAAATGAGTAAAAGACTGAAAAGGAGACATAATATGGACAGAATGTGACAGAAAGAGAGAGAAGAAAAAAAGATAGGTATAATGTACATGCAGATAGATAAATAGATAAATTAAAGATATATACATGTAGAAACATTATAGAGTGGAGAGGGTACGTGTAGGATGAGAAAGAAAAATAGAGGGATGAGAATTGGAAAGGGAGAGATCAATATAAAGAGAGAGGGAGGGAGAGGTGGGGGGGGGGGGGGGGGGGTTGGGGCACGAGCTCGAACAGGTTTGGTTATAGATCTATTTGAGAAAAAGTAGTGCCTGGAAATTTGTTTGCGTGTGTGCTCATTCCACGTAAAACTTGATCTTTATTATTAAAGTTCCAATTACATTGCCCGTTACTACCGTATGGTGATGAATTTTCATTCAATTTTCATTAGCAACGCCAACCTTCATTAATGAAATCTTTTTGACTGACACGACCTCACTTTATATACCTCAATTATGCAATGATTTATTTTCTCTTTGACGAGGCCACTGCAAGTAACACCTCTCTAGAAACAACAGACCGGGGAATGATTGTTCGCTATTGTGTTTCTACTTTATTTAATCAATGGGAATCATTTTTCTGGCGAAGGTTTCATAACACCAACGGTCATTAATTTTTTTATTTTCACCGACTGGAGCTTGTATGAATGTTGCATAATTTGCAAAATGTCAATGAAATTAAGTTGTTAAAATGAGAAAAGCGTGTATACGGGAAAGTCTGTATTTGAAGGCATCCATTTCAAACGACGCAAGCAATGCATACCCAGCTCCTTCCTTTAATCAAATAGAGTTGGAAATACGAAAGAATAGTGTCCCCCCCCCCCCCAAAAAAAAAAAAACAACAACAAACAACAAAAATGTGTATACATGAATGGTGAGAAACCTCAACTCCTCAAAGAGTACAGAAATTGAATATAAGACAAAATGCACTAAATAGCAACAGAGAGAGAGAGAGAGAGAGAGAGAGATGATCCTCCAGGTATTGGTCTGTGGATGAGGGTAATCCAATAATATACATGTAGGTCGGGTCACCATTGACGTGTAAGGTCAAAAGGCGGTTTGTGAGTCCTGTCAAGTGACAGAACTGAACTTGAACTTCCAATTATTTCGATGTCGGTATACCAAGACGTTGTATGTCCGGACAGGTTTTGCATCCGGACAGTTGATTTAAAACGGTAATTTGAAGAAGTTTACAAGCGATATTTCATAAATCGTCAAGAATTATGTTGGACGATATCATAAAGGAAAAATATTAAAGCTTATAAATCATATAACTTCGCGCCCAGTGACAATCATAACCCCAATACAACGAGCTTGTATCTTCATCTTTAATATTATTGTAAACCAAAACATTTCAATTGCAGATAATTTGAGGTCATTCGTGGCGCTCATTATCCTTTTCTGATATGTTTTCATGAACATCAATGTGAAATCATTCGAACGAATGAAAATAGAAAGAATTGTTTCCCTATCTCAAAAGTATATAGTGTAGCGTAGACTCGGATTCTGGTTTCACTGAACCGGACTTTCAAAAACAGAAATGGAGTTAAACCCGAACTATGCTGGACTTTATAAGTCAGGTTTAACTGGACTCCAACCTTCAGAAAAACGGGCCACATTCTTTACTTGAAAATGTTAATGATAATTATCCACAGGTCGTGTTTCCGGACAGGATAGTTATCCAAACGGCTGATTTCAAACGGTAGAATTTGAAACAGTTTACATGCAATATTTCATTAATCTTTGAAGATGTTTGTACAATATCACCAATTAGGACATTAATAACGGTGTGCGCTTTTCGATGAATGTGTTAATAATACCGACACACCCCCGTCCTATACGTGTATCTTAGATCTACCTGTATTCCTAACTGTTTAAACTAACATCTAACATTAACAATGATTAACCTCACTAGAAAGATACACTAGGCTACTCGGATACCATAATACCCTTCGCGGAGTTCTTTGCCCGGATAAGTAGGGACTTAGCAAACATGACAAATCGGAACGAACAAACAACCGCTCCTGGGACTGGTGGCTGTATTGTTGTCTCCAAGGCAGAGACGGAGAGTATAGAATGGATTCTTGTAAACGTTTCGATGGTGTTTCCTGGCTTACCTCTGGTATTTCATTGCGTAAATCACCTCCTGCTTCTTGCTCCGAAACCTCCATCTTCAAGCTGTCCCGTCGTCAGTTTTGTTTCCTAAGTAATTCGTCAGTCTTTCCCAAACTATCGACAATGTTAGTTGACAAACGTGCGCCTCAAACTCATTCCCCTACTCCGTTTACTGTCCGGGAGTTTGATTGTTGTAAACAAGACCAGTTTCGAAGAGTCTCTGCTGAATGAAGTGGTGATAAAGGAAAGCTCCTCTGGAGCGTGATAAGTTTTCTTTTGTCACCTGGCCAGTTATTGACCGTTTGAATAGTTCATTCATCAACGTGCGTCAATTGCAGGGAATGATGACTCCATCCTCAAATAGTTTGGCACTGAGACGGTTGGTTGATTTTTTTTTTTATACCCGGTATTGTAACTGCATGGTGTCTGATGAGGGGTGCTTTTGGATCCCGTGCGTTATAAGTCCGTGGAAGAAGTCGATAAATTCTTCAGAGTGATCTCACACGTGAGATATCGAGAGGATCGCGACTATAATAAACCCGGTTGATGCTACATGCTGGCGCTGTGCGTAGTGCGTAATTGGTATCGTAACCCCTAGCAACCGCCGACGCCATGCATTGAAGCCGGTATATTTTTTTGTACAGGCATATTCGCGCGGTGTGTCTCTCGAACGTCCGAACATAATCGTTGGCATATTTTTTTATTCAGGGTTTAGAATGTTTGCCAAAGTTTTGTGCTTATATTTTTAAGAACAGTTATTATGTATATGGTAATCTCTCAAAGGTATTAATTTCTTTAGAAAATTATCAACCTATTTACATCTGGCAGTAAAGAGGGCGTTTCTTCTCATCAGAGAATTGGGATCTAAATTCATTATTCGCACTCATTTACCTCATAATCTTTCTCTCCACTCTCTTTCTTTCATTCTTTCTTCCCCCTCTCTCTCTCTCTTTTTTCATTCTCTCTCTCTCTCTCTCTCTCTTTCTTCCTCTCCCTCCAAAATCCCTTTCCCCCTATAGGGCTCTCTCTTTTCTCCTATCCAAGCCAGTGTATATTATGATAGATTCTCATTTTTTGAAGCATCAAGATCTTATTACATTCTCATATTTCCTTGCTTGTTTATTTGCCAAATCCTCTCTCTCTCTCTCTCTCTCTCTCTCTCTCTCTCTCTCTCTCTCTCTCTCTCTCTCTCTCTTTCCCTTCCCTCCCTCCCTCCCCTCTCTCTCTTTCTCTCTTACTGTAATGTTCCTGTCGTATATATTTTCTGCTTTAAACATGAAGCAACTCCATGAAGATATTTTTTCCCTTTAACATAAATCATCATTGGTTTTATTCATGTCCTTTCCATTCTTCTCACAATGAAATACTCATTATCTCTCCTTTTCTCACTATTTATCAATCATCAATGGAAATGTATTCACAACCTTCATAATCATCTCAAAACACACATGTTATCAATAATGATGAATACAAAAATAAATTGTTGTAGAAATAGAAACACTTTGGTTCTTGAAGCAATCCGCTGCTTTTAAACTGCTCTAGGATTTTTATTTTATTTTTCAGTGGGGGAGGGGGGGGGGAGATATTTTTTTTAGATAGAATAGGTTCAGCCTTGATGACTTAAACAAAAACAAAAAAGGGGGAGGGGGACATCTATTCAGGATCAATCATTGTCTTTTCAATCCCAACACTAAGTAAAATGTATTAAGTAGAGGGGGAACACATTCAGTATGCTTACTTTCACTTTATTTCAAAGTACACACATAAACCGTTTTCATGGCAAGGAGATATTGCTTTATTTGTACTTTTAAATTTCCGCCAGATAGATCATATTGAAGTTGCATTTCTGGTATTTTACGGTTGATATATCATTGTAAAGCAGATAAATGTCTTTATTAATCATGATTCCTGATGCCTTGCATCTTGCTCAGGTTTGACAGGAAATACAGAAAGGTTTTGGATGAGGCGCTGAGCCCAGAAGGTTGAGATTGTAAAGAGCCTCATTGTTTTGAATCATTCTCAACAGATCACAAGTCATGCTCTCAGAGGGCTGTCCATGTAGTCCTGTGTGTGCTTTGGGAATGGTTCCTTCTCTGGACTTGGTCCTGTGCAAGTTGGTCACTTGTCTACTTGTCCCCCGTTAGATGTTAGCTTTCGTGCCCTTACTCATCATCCACTCCCTAGACGTCTCCTAGATTTGTATGCATCTCACCGTGCTGCTTTGCAATCCTGTACATGCCCTACACCGGAAAGTTGGCGTCTATGCCCTCATTCTCCATCCTCTTCATAGATGGTTTCCTGGATGCTTGCCTTCAGCTTCCTGGGGATTACCCTGGGATAATCTCTGCTCCAGAGCTTGTTCATCTTCCTCATGATGGCAGCATGACCCATGCGCCAGTCGCGACACGGTCCTCTCTTCACCAGGATGGAGGAGACAAAGCTGTCCTGCTGGGCGCTGACTTTGTCCATCTGCTCTTGGACGGTGTAGAAGGTCAGGAAGTTCTTATTCATTTCTCCAAGAAATTGCTCCGATTCGCCCACAAGCTTTGCGCACTTTAAGTCGATGATCTCAGTTTTGGTAAGACCAGAGCCGGGAAGCCGAGGGAAGGGACCGCAAGAGATACGAGCTGCTCGTCGAAGAGCCTTCTCAAGCTGGCTGGTGGTGTTCTTTGAGAGCTGGACCATATCTCTCAGATTCCTGAGGACATCTGTCGGTGCGCACTTTCTCAAGACCTTGTCCATGTCGAGGTAGTCATCGCCCTCTTTGTTATTATCCTCGTAATATTCGATCTCTTCATCTAGTTCAGAAAAATCCTCCATTGGGGCTTCCCCACTCTTGACCCAGGGGATTTCTGCGTCGGTTTCATCAGGCTTGCTAAAGTCCACTGATGATCCGATACTCATACCTTCCTCTTCTGCAAGATCTCCTTCAACTGGAGATGGTGTCTTAGGCTCTTGCTCTTCCCAGCATTCCCTCCTCCTTCTCGAGAAGGGCCTTGGTTGCCATACCTCATCCATATTCAAGTCATTGTCTTGAATGTTGATATCAACATCACTGTCGGTTCCACTACTTGGTGACGATGAGGGTGAGTGAGGAATGACGAGGACCGGGTGATGGACTTTGTCTTTTGGCGGCGTGTCCTCAATTTCACCTTGGATAATGTCTCTATCATTTCTAGTCGATTCCTTGTCAATCTCCGAATCTTTGAGGTTGGCCTTAGATGCAAGATCAAGAGCGGCTTTGTCATTATCTCGACTCTTTCCTACGTGCTGGTAGATCAAGACGTGGTCGCTGTTTGATTGACTATTATCAGTTCTGTCGGTCGCGAAGACTTCACTTTCACCTACCGCACCAGGGAGGGAGAATCGACTGGGAGTGCTGACATCACGAATTGCTTTCATAGAGAAGCTTGATGCCACCGTTGAGCTCTTTTTGCTGACAGATGGCTGCAGGCAGTTATGACTGCTTGTTGGGAAAGCAACCGGTGTCAGAGGCTCGACCTTGTTTCTCCTGCGAGTTGATGACCTCTGTTCAGTACTGACGCCATTGACATTGTCACTGGGTTTTAGCAGTGTCACGGGTGTGCGTCCTCGAAGTCTGAAGTAGAGAGAGCGGACTGCAGAAGCGATGTGGAGATTGGGGATCCTCCAGTGCCAAGGACGCCACGTAGAAGTCTGCTCTTCGTCGTCGATTATGGCAGGACTGGTAGTCGTCAGGCCTTTCTGGGGTCGGGGTTGTGATTGATTGACAAGCTGGAACGGAAATATCAGACAATAAAGTTAAATATTTTTGCTTGTTTTTTCTTGAAATAATTTTGTTTAATAAACTTTATGGTGAAATGTATAAACAAATAGTTTTAATTTACGCCTGATAAACCGAAATTTGTAAGAGTTCTCAGTTTTATAATTTACACATTGACAATACGTACAACACATTTTCTATATCCATGTATCTTAAACAAAAACATAATTTTCAACTTAATATATCTAATGGCATTATTTTCTTCACCCCCTCAATTATATTTTGATCAGTACACGAAAGGTTTCTTTAAGTTTGAAAGTTTGAAAGGATCATACTCAATAGGGGTTCTAGAAGGGCTTGGGCTTAAACCTCCGTTCAAAAAATCGTGATTATAAATGATTTTGAGCAAGGCACATGTAGAAAATGAATTCAAGAACACTAAAGTTCCCTAGCCCCCCTATGAAAATGTAAAACCGCCCCATATTATAATATCGCCTTCTCTCTACCTTTATTCAATCGACCTATACTCTTGCTTGATTTGTTTGCGTAGTTAATGATAATAAATAACTGATTAGAAAGATGAAATCATTTCTGTTTATGTTCATAATGGTATGGCGACTTTGTGATAGTTGTAAATAATAATTTTTTTTATTTTTTTTATGGACTCACCAAGTTATTCATTTTGTTCAACGTTATATATTTCTTCCTTTGCTTAGCAAAATATCTCGAAATTCACGAATTAATGCCGGTAAGAAAATATTCGAAAATGAGATTTGAAGATCAAAATCAGCATACGTCTCAAGTGAACTTGAAATGCGTCGGAAATGATACTAATGCAATGCTGTGTTTGCGTTGCTATTTAACCTGTTGCGCGTTGCACTGATATCGATGACGTAACAATACCTTGCGCGTCAGATGACGTAACAATGATACATACAGGATGCACAGCAATCATGAGGAACAAAATAGTGGCATGTTTTTGTGGGGTTGGGGGTTTGGAGCACATCCTTTTTGGTCATTTTATTTTTTGTAAAGATTTTCGCTTCTTTCTTTTCAATTTGCATATCAGTAAAAGATTAATTTCTTCTTCTCCCTTGTAAAATAAAATGGAAAGATTGCACAATCTGAGTGCATGTATGGGCAGACATATTTCTATTGAGATCAATAATGTTTGAAAAATGAAACATAAAAAGAGTCCCCTCCTACCCCTCAAAAAAATATAAATAAAATAAAGAACAACATAAATAAGTGTTTTGTCGGAAATAAGTGTCACGAATTCTAGAATCGGGACAGTACAGTAAACAAATATGAATACTCGAAACCAATATGCAAACATGGATATCCGTTTATAAGGTTGCTTTATTCTCTATCTATTAGGAGAGAACGTAGAGGACAGCTTCTTTCTCATTCCCCTATATCATTTTTTATAATACTTGATATCTACTTCCCTCTTTGCCTTCCTTTCACTTGTTATAATACCCCACCTCTTAATTTTCAGTCTCATTCGCATCATTTCTTTTTTCTCCACTTGCGCATCCTCACATTACTCCCTCCCCCCCCCCTCTCTCTCTCTCTCTCTGTCTCTCTCTCCCTTACCCTGTCACA